CGCCGCGGCCCGTCGTCTGCGGAGTGTGCAGCCCCCCGGGGGGTCCCTGTGGAGCCCGGGGCGGCGGGAGAGCGACGCGTGGCTCGGAATCTGCAGACGTGCGCGTTAAGGAAGGGAGAAGTGAAGGCAGGGCCTCTCCACTGAGCCTGTGCAATTGCCTCTGTCACCAAAGATGTTGAAGCAGGGAAACCTAATCAGCATTTATAGGATGAGACAAGTTATGGATGTGGTTTATATTTGCAGGGTTAGGGGTCTAGGTTGTAAGCCCTTTGGGGCATTATCTGCCAACCTTTTTACCTGTCAAGCAGGTAAGAAAAAGAGTAAAAGGCATGCATGTAGCTGTAAAGAAATCTTAGTTTCTCCAAGTCATCCATTCATGAATGACTCTTCAGCTTTGTTTTGCTGAAGAAGATCTACATTTGGCCCTTTTGAGCACAGTGCGTCTGTATCATGTGCATTCCCACCAACTCCGCATGACAACCGAGCATCGTGAAATGCTGACAAGATCTGGTTCAAGACTCTGAGCCCACAAGTGGCAAGATGCTGGGTTTTTATTGTAAAGTACCGTGCTCTAGTGTGGTTACATAAATTCTGCGTACAAATTGCTGTGCTTGCCACCAACGATGTATAGTGGTCAGAATACTGACTTAAAACCTTTCGTGGCGGATGGTTTCCCAAAACCTGAAGAAGTAACAGGTATTCCTATGAATTTAAACAGAAACATCTCCTGAGTACCTGCAAGCTTGATTTAATTGGGACTTTGTTGTTTCACTTAAGTAACAGCTATAGGATGAATATGTTGTATGTTCTCAGCCTCAGACAGTTATATATAAAACTGAGGTATGTGCAGGGATGTACAAGCACAAGTTTCCTGTTCTCAAGGGATTTAACTTCAGTGGCCAAGATTACCGTGACCGCTAGAATGAGCAAGCTGCATGGACTCTGTGGTTGAATGCTTACATATGTGTGCTCATATACCCAAACACACAGTTAGGTGCAATTGGTTTAATTGCTTATGAGCAGGTCGGTCTTCTCATGTTAAGCTGGTCACTGACTGACGAACCGAAGGTATTTACACTGAGGGAACCACAATGCAGCTGTCCTATATGTCAGCAACTGTGGAACAGAATCACTTGGTTAGAGAAGGCCTGAAACCTGGGAGCTGATAGGGTGTTGGGGTGCTGCAGAAGCTCTCGTGAAAAGGAGTGCTTTTTTCCATTCCCTCTCCCAGGCTGGCATTCAGAATGGCTGCAGTGGTAGTGTTGGGAAACACAGAAGGATGCACACCTTCACTCTAAACCGTGCAATCCTTTAGTTAAAAATATGTGAAATAATTCCTTTGTAGTAGAATGATTCGTGCCTGGTTCCTTGTTTTCCTTCACTTCATCTGAGATTCAAGGGTTTGGAATTTATCTTTAAATATCCCACTCTTTGCTACAGTGGCTCCTGATAAAAAATGGCTTTGACACAAATTTGGGGGCAGTTTTATGTGTCATGAGAATCAAACTCAGCTGTCTACTTTCCCTCTTTCTATTTTTGTAAATAAATTACTTCAGTGGTCTGGAGATTTTACAAGGAAGAGGTAGTCTTTTATGTCTTTAATATAATAGAAGAACAACCTCTGTTTTAATTTTCAAAAAACATTCTGTCAAGCCTGAAGGGTGAGCATGAACCGAGCAGAAGGTAGACTCCTTTCCTTTTCCTTTGTCTTCCGGAGACTCTGCACTTGATTCTGAGGGAGTTTCCCATTTGACATCGTGATTCGTCTTTGTGGGAGGGTTATTTTCATTCTCTGTTTCTCAGACCTTCTCCTGTAGATGGGAACGGGGCAAAGAGCCCAGACGTGGCAACACATTCTCAGGCTCCTGCAGGACCGCCATGGCTTATGATGACTCCAGGAAGAAAGAAGGTATGACTGCTACATAATCTCAGAAGTTGCCAAAAACAAACCAAAAAGAAAGGGTACCCTCTGCAGCCATTGCTAGGCCATGCAGCCAGAGCGGGAAAGGAAGCTAGTCTGCTGTGAAGCCCTTAAATGTAACCTGGCCAAGTTGCCGGAGGATCCCAATCCCTTGACTTCCAGGTCACTTGAGAGAAATGGGTGGTATTTCCTAATGCAGACACCTTGATTGGACACTTTGCCACTGCAGCCTTTCTTCTTCCTGTCACGTCAATGGAATGGGAGACCAGGGATAGGGATATGTTTAGTCATAGTAACATTTCTAGGTCCAGTTGTCTTTAGGAAGAAATATACAGGGGTTAGAAATGAAATCTGGAGTGACTGTGTTACAGCATTAGTGCACTGAGCCCCATCCCTGTGGTCATACAGCACAGATTATTATTGGTTAGGCTCCACTGCTTGTTTGGTTTTGTGTATCACTTTGTGTCACTGTCTGTTGTGATTTTGTGCATAGTCCACGTGTCAGTCCTTCCTTAATGAGGTACTTAATTTCTTCTGGTTTTTTCCCATTTCACGTAAATCTTAGAGTTCCTAGTGAGTGACCGAAGTGTTGATGACGCGGGGCTGGCAACTGCCAGGATACAGCGAGAGAAAAAGCGCTCTTACAAGGATCTGCTGCAAGAGGAAGATGAAATAGCAACTCAGGTCAGGAAGCCCTCAGAGAAAAGGTTGAAGGTATACAGATACGTGTAAAGCTAATGATGGAATGGGATGGATGGGTTTCTCGTTCTTTTTTATACAGAAATGCATGTAGAAGACAGCAGGAGCAGCTAACTGTGTTCTGTATTGCTCAGTAACTTTCCTGGGGAAATGGAAGGGGTCAATCCCAATTGCAACTGATTCTGATAGGGTAGTAGGGTGCTATCCTAGCCTTGATGTAGAACCTTGCAAGTTGTAAGATGGCACAAATAGCTTTTTACACAGAAAAGTAAGATTTTTAGAATTTATGGTTATATAAATAGCCAGCAAAGGATGAAGATAATGTTAACTGATGCACTGTTGTCTTCCTGATCCTGCAGACAGCCTGAAACGATAGCTCAAGAGGTATGAACTTGCCCTGTTCACCTCCTTGGGGCCTTAACTCTGAAATCACGTAGTGACAACTTAAGTTTCTTCAAAACTCTCCTCTTTGAGCTAAAATTTCTGCTGTTAGCCCAAAGGTGACTATCTTGTGATTGTTGTATTTTTTTTTTAATCTGGAAAAGAAGTTCTAGTTTAAAATGAAAATCTTCTACCCTTCAGATGGAATTCTGTAGAGGAGCTTAATTTTCAGACCATAAATTGGTCAAGAGACAAATAATAATTGCGTGACATGACATATTAAGGTCACTATTTTTTGGCCGATAATTTTAATGGTCACCTCTCTGTACCTCTTTTCACTTCTTTTATCTTCTTCAACATATTAAACATGAACTGCTCACCTTCATTTCCAAGGCTTGACAGCCTACGCATGCTTAGTTACTAGCTTTATTAAGCGGTAGATGTCTGTCTTTTATCAACTCACCAGCTGATCTCCAAGCACTGCCTTTCATTGCCCGTTTCTTAACACTTTCAAATGTGCTTTGTCAAGTTTTCTTGTGTATTGCTCCTCTCATTGGGCGGGAGCTCCCTATAGATGCATGTCTTTCCAATTTCCTTATAGCCCTGTTGTGCTGCCATGCCTCTAGAAAGCTTGATGCTGGTTAGGTGGCTGATGTGCTGAAACCAATCCTACTAATGCCATTTTTTGTATTCTCCCACCTATCTGAACCATGCTTTTTGTCTTTTACTTTAAAACCTACATTGTGGGTTCTTGGGGACAGAGTATGTTTCCTTTGCTTGTTTTATCACCTAGAATAATGATCCTGTTTCATACCTAGGGTTCCTTGATGTTACAGTGGTACAAATAACTCTTGTTATATCCTACAAATTATCACCTGTGTCAGTAGCCCATGTGAATCTTATTCCCTCTTGTTTGTCAGCAACATTTTTCTTCTTATTCTAGGACAGTGAGCTTTTTCCAGGGACAGAACCTCACAAAAAGAAGAGAAAGCACTCCGATGAGTTCTCCTACAGAGGTAAGATAGTAATCGGGCAGGGCAAGGGGCTAAGAGATCATGACTTTGAGGAAAGGATGCTGTTAAACCAGTGTTGTCAAGCTTTGTGGTTTATGGGGGAAAAGTACATCAACTTTTCTGGACAAGTAATCGGAAACCTGACGCCAATCAGCACTAGACAGCAAAAGATATATGCAGAGTCTACCTTAACAAGATGCCTTTGTTGGGGCAAGAGATCTTCCATCCTCCTTTTTATTTACAAGCTGTGGTCATCTAACCCATACCTTCCCTTTTGTTATTTGCATTTCATTTTTCCCTATTGCATTACAGACTGTAATTTTCCTTGCAGATAGTTATTACTTTTTCTGAATTTATAAAGATAGAATGCATCTGGGTGAAAACTAAATGCTTTTGGGTTCAATTTAAATACAGAAATTCTTCTTAAATACAGAAATTATTCTCACAATTAATAAGTTGGCCAGAAAATGACAATTCTGTTCATAAAAGTTTAACAGATTTAAGACCTATTTTTTGAAAAAGAGAAAGCCAAGCTGAAATGTCGTCAAAATCTGTCTTCAGAATGAAAACAGCTTGTATTTCCAATTCATTGGTCTCACCTCAGCAAAAAATGGCACAAAACCCTTGCACTTGAGGTGTAATTTCAGGCTTAATAAGATACATTTTCATCAAAATAGCTGTTTCACAAGAGAATACAGAGTTTGACAGAACTTCCAAGAACTTCCTACTCTGTCTTCCTGCCTCAAGTTACGTGACCAGCTTGGATGTTACAGCTCCTGAATTGTATCAGTAAGGCTGTGCTGAGCTGGCTACAAGCTTCAGAGATCATCTGCTTAAGGCAGGCTGTAAATCTGTTAGCTGTAATCATAAATCTTGCAGGATTCCCTCTTCTTTAAGGGAATCATCTTGACGTACATTTCTCTTGATCTTTTTCAGGTGTTTCGCCTTTGGATCTACCATCAAAGAAGAAGAAAAAAGCAGTTTCTAGCCCGTCCTCAGCTGATACAACCATGGATTTACTCAAGACTGTCACCTCACCTCTGGCCACAAGCTCAAAGTCTTTGAAGAAGACCTCTGAAAAATCATCTTATTCTTCCTCTGGCCATTCCGAAAGCAAAAAGGAGCACCACAAGAAGAAGCTGAGTGGGAGCAGTGGGGACCACTCAGTGGACGATGGCAGCTTCCACAAATCTAAAAAAATGAAACCTCTCTACGTGAACACAGAGACCCTTACTCTTCGTGAACCTGATGGTTTAAAGATGAAGCTCATCCTTTCACCAAAAGATAAAAGTAGTGCAGCAGATGATGATTCTTTCTCCTACTCTTCAGCACCAGCGGCTGCAAAGAAATCTTCAAAGAAATCATCTCGAGATGAGCAAGGCTCATTCCTTCTGGGTCATGAACTGCAGAGCTTCCTGAAGTCATCCCGGAAGAAGCACAAACCACCTCCAGATCCACATCCACCTTCTGAGAGTTTTGGTGCAGACACCTCCCTTTTTTCAGAGGGCCATGGGAGCGAGTATGAGATTTCAGGGGCAGAGCCACCACCAGAATCTGGTTCCTCTTCCGGTGGGGAGTTGGAAGCTGGAGAGCTAGTGATAGATGACTCCTACCGGGAAATCAAGAAGAAGAAGAAATCAAAAAAAAGTAAGAAAAAAAAAGACAAGGAGAAGCACAGAGAGAAGAAGCACTCTAAGTCTAAAAAGAGTTCTGGGCATTCTCCTGTGGCAGTAGCTGAAGTAGCAATGTCACCACCACGTCCTCCCAGTACCCCCTATGTTCTTCCTCCACCTCCTCCTGCTGTTTTTCACTCAGATGGTCAAGGTGAGAAGAAGAGGAAAAAGGAAGACAAGGAGAAGGACAAAGCTGAAAAATGGGAAAAAGAAAAGGAAAGAGAAAAGGAAAAGGAAAGAGAAAAAGAAAAGGAAAAAGAAAGAGAGAGAGAAAAGGAAAAAGAAAGAGAAAGAGAAAAGGAGAGAGAAAGAGAAAAGGAAAAAGAAAGAGAAAGAGAAAAGGAAAAAGAAAGAGAAAAGGAAAGAGAAAGAGAAAAGGAAAAAGAAAAAGAAAGAGAAAAGGAGAAAGAAAGAGAAAGAGAAAAGGAGAGAGAAAGAGAAAAAGTAAGGAAAAAGTGGAGGGAAAATAGAAATTGGGTGATGGGTAATGGTGAATTAGGCACTCCATTACAAAGGAGTGTTAAATTGAAGCAGCAGGATAACTAATACCAGAATTGATGGTTTCACTGAAGCATGTTTGGAAAAATTTGTCAGCCACTGTGATTTTGGTGTGTAACAAAAGGAATATATATCATTCTCTTAGCCAATAGAGATTCTTTGAAAAGGTTATACTTGATTTGCTTGGTACAGGTTGTGTACCAAGCACAACTGCGTAATTTTTTAAGGTAGCTGGTTCTAGCTACTGCCAGACAGGCTTTTGGACTAGTGATCTAGTTCATCATCACAGTTCCTGTACAAAGGCATCAGGCTTTCGCCTGGGAAGTGAGGACATTTACCTGTTTACACCTGTGTTCAACTGGAATTCTAATTCTTACAGACTACCACATTCCCGGTTTTGTCTTGTACTTATAAATTAAGGTTTCCATGGTTAGTGAATAAAACTGTGAGTAGAAGAAACGGTAGCTAGCTATGACTGAGTTTACAGGTGCTACAACTGTAGCTGTGTAAGTATATAAATGGGGAAGGGCACCTTCTCTATGTTCAGATAGACAAAAATTGCTTTTTGTCAGGAAATGGGCATATTTGCTCAGCCATTATTCTGTTCTATTTGGTAAGTTTTCTGTGATCAGGACTTGGCAACTGGTTATGCCTCTGCTGTCAGTGTACTTAAACTGTCTATTTTCTTGCCAATTTGAAGTGTTTTGTGAGGATGCAGGGAATGGAACAAAACATTATGATAAGCACTGAACTGTTTTGACAGATCTATAATAGGTACTATGAATAGTATGACAGATACTATTTTTTAAATTATTTTAAGTTTTAAAACCTGAGATATATTGAGAGAGTTGTATGTTGATCCTGAATTTAGAATAGCAGGTGGTGGTAACTTATGAATGAAATGCATTGATAAGGCTTGTTGCAATATAAGCCTTCAACTAAGAATGGTTCTAGCTGGTTCCTGTGCTTTCATAAACACTGAATTCAGCCAGAACATGTAAAACACTGCTTTTTTAGGTTCTGATCTAAGCACCACATCTTTCTTTAAGTCTTCAATAAATGCCAAATTCTTAGTGAATTTGGGTAGGTCTCATCATAATTAAAAATCATTGTTTCCTTTTCTTCTGACTAGCCAAAGAAGAAAAACATGTCTGCCTATCAAGTGTTCTGTAAGGAATATCGTACAACTATTGTGTCTGAGCACCCTGGAATAGGTGAGAGAATAATCTAGCTGTCTCTTCTCTTGCTTATACACCAGTTGGATTAATTAGTGGAGTTTATCATCTCTACTTCATATCAACCTCTTAATTTGACAGAATGCAAAGAATCTGCCAATTTTCTTTGAATAGAGGTGACAGAAGGACAGGAGTTAATTTCATTATTTGATTTTGTTGCATTTTAACCAAACTGTGAATCTGGATAAAGGAAATGATAGCTCTTTCTCCTTTCTTCACTTAACGAGTTACTTTCATTGTGTCACTTTCCTATATATACACCTATGACTTCATATTCCTGGTATCAGCTTGTTTTCATTTTAAGTAGTAATGGGAATGCACACTGGCAATCATTTTCAGGACAGTATGGAGAGTTCCAGTTGTGGAATGGGTTGCTTCCTAAATATGTGTGAATTGGCCAGTAAATCATAGAATTGTTTTGGTTGGAAAAGACCTTCAAGATCATCGAGTCCAACCAACAACCTGGCACTGCCAAGTCTACCCTAAACCATTTCTATGCTCTCGTCATGATTTTATGATTTCATTTGTTTTAAACATTTTTCTTCTTCCCTTCTGCTAGACTTTGGAGAGCTAAGTAAAAAATTGGCAGAAGTGTGGAAGCAGCTACCTGAGAAGGATAAACTGGTGAGTGTGAGTGAGATGTTTGTGTGAAATTATTTCCGTAAACTAGGTGCTTAGGTCAGAACATGCTGGCAGCATTGTCACCATACCTTGAAAAACGCCACCTATGTCCCCAAAGTATGGAAAGATGGAAAGCGTAGAAACCGTGCTCTTGTGGTGATAAAAGCTTCCATATTCTTGTTGTATTGCATCACCAGTTAGCTACATAACATCATTCTGCCTCCAGGTCCTGGCATCAGGTAACAGAATTGCCTAATGTTATGGATCTCTCTTTTCATACCATGGTAACTGCAGGTTTGGAAACAGAAAGCTCAGTATCTCCAACACAAACAGAATAAAGCAGAAGCCACCACTGTGAAAAGGAAAGCATCCTCTTCAGATGGTGCACCGAAAATAAAAGGTAATTGATGCATTTGATTTGCTTTAGTCTTGTTCCCTTCATCAGGAAAGGTAGTGTTGCCTGTGGAATAAGGAATGAGGATCCTTTCCTGCGTCACACCCCTACCTGCTTTCTCACAAGGCTTGACATCTAAATCATCCAATTTTTCTCTGAAAGTGAGAGTGACGTCAGTGTTTTTCAAAAAGGTTCTTTCTCTAATTCACAGACTGGTATTCGTTTTAGCAGTTTAGGGATTGAAACGTAAAATAAGAGGCAGCCGGGAAGTTCTAATGGGATTAGTTTGCTGCTAGAGGGAAAAGGGTTGTTCTTGGCTTGACACTTCTGTTGTCAGATCTCCCAAATCGTATTCAGCTGAGGTAGATGTTTTGTACATGCAGAAGGAAAGTTTTGACTCCAGAGACCACAGGACCAAGTCCACAGAACTGTTCAAGCATCTCATGCCTTTGAGGTTTGCACTTTACTAAGTAAATAGGCTTGTAAGTAAAAGAATGAAAGAAGACAATGTGGAATTTTAATTCGTGTGTTTCCAGCTTCTCCAACAGGAGTGATTTCTCCTCATAAGAAATCCCCCACCAGCACCGTGGTGGTGCCTTCCTCCCCAGCCAAAGCCCCCGAGACAGAGCCTATTGACGTAGCTGCACACTTGCAGTTGCTGGGTGAATCTCTGAGCCTCATCGGACACAGACTGCAGGAAACAGAGGCGAGTCTGTAACCAGCAATGTCACAGTGATGTCATGTAATCTACACACAGGGTTGGGGGGAGGGTTATTACTTTATTTTACTTAAAAGGTTAACCAGTGCCTTTCTGTTAGGAAATCAGAGATGGCATGCTGTGCTGCTTTGATGCATCGCTGTTTGTTTTCAGTGAAATAAAAAGCCTTGTTTCTCAGTAAACAGTAGGTATCAAAGACAGACGACTCCTCTGCAGCTCTAGGTCCTTGAAGGCAAGTTGCCAGTCTCTGGTCCAGTTTCTGTTACTGTCTCAAGCCTTCATAGAAAACCATCCGCCTTTACCAAGATGGTTTTTGCTTGTCCTGTTGTTTTCTGGCAGTGTCATATTGCCAGTGCTTGGGACGAGGCTACTATTGTTTCAACTTACCTAGTAACATGGAAGGTACCTTATCTTAATGGTTTCCTACTGTCGATAGTGATTCTGTGCATGCATCCACACGCGCTTCCACAACTCAGCCAGGCCTGTAAGGAGAACACGTTTGGCTCAAATAATATCACGGAATGTTATGGCTAGCGTGATCATCTCATCCCGCTGTGCTGGCTTGTTTCATCAGCAGTAAAATAAATGTGCTTGCATTTTGTTTCTGGTATGGCCCACTGAGGTCGTTCTTCAGAGGAACAACCAGAGTAGAATCTGGTAACGAAAGGCACACAAACTAATTCCCTTACCTGAAAGGGCACCGATGACTAAAGCATTTGTGACAGACTTAGCACTTCTTTAGACTTCAGTAGTAAAACAACTGTTGTCTTTAGGACTCATGTAGTTAACAAAATAGATGGTATGAAATAGCAAAGAAATTACAGAAAATTGTGGAATTAAATGTTTTATGCAAATGACAACTTTTTAACCTTTTCTGCTGTTCCCCTACTTTCTTCCTACACCAGTATGTTGCCTACTGGACTTTTAAATGTTTTGAGCCAGCCATCTCTCTGTGAAGCGGGTGGCATAGTTCTGTTACTGAGTAAATACTGAAAGTGGACTAGGGGAGCTCAAGAATGACGATACTGTATCTGCGTGAGAATCAGTACTATTGTGTAAGAACCATCATTTCCAGTACTCATTCAGTTTTTTTCTTTCCTTACTTCCAGGGAATGGTGGCTGTTTCAGGAAGTTTGTCAGTACTTCTAGATTCAATCATCTGTGCTTTGGGCCCATTAGCGTGCCTGACCACGCAACTGCCTGAGTTGAATGGCTGCCCTAAGCATGTTTTGGTGAGTTCCTTGTGGTTATTTCCATTCTGGCACTGTTAATTTCAGTAGAGTCCAACTAGAGTTTTTTGATGAGTCAGCCTTATGATGTGATTATAATTCCAGTGCAATAAGAAAATTGTCTTTGTCATACACTTTTATAGAGGAATATTTCTTGAAATGCTTTCAGATGTTACTCTTGTGTGATACCATGCAACTTTTTTTCTCCCAGTGGCAAGTGGCCTAATATTTGTAGCATTGATTGCAGTGTATGTAGGTCCTGATTTAGTGACTGAATCCATCCATCTGAATCAAATACAAGCACCTGTACACATGCCAGTATTTTGGAAGTTCTAATTTTTCTGTAAAAATAAACCACACCCTCTAGCTGCTCTGTATCGCACAATCTGTTTTTCCCTTAGTAGCCTAAAAATTAACTTGTGATCTCAGGATTCCTAATGTGAATGAGTAGGGCCTTTTACATGTGGCTGTCACCTTCTCCAAGGGAAGAAAAAGTCTCTGTTTTAAGGAACTACATAACTATGGGTTCTTTTCCACTTTAAACTACACTTGATACTGAGCCCTGATTTAGCAGCAGCTTGTGTAGCAGCTGTGTAGCTTGATGTGGATGACAGCAGCGTAAAAGGAATTGGGAGTTGTACCGCCAACAGGAGACATGAATAAATCAGCGGAGAGGAGCAGAAATTAAAATTAAATACATAGCCTGCAAAAGTTAAGAGATTAAAAACAAGTCTGTCTGAGAGAACAACAAAAATGGGATATGAATTGGCATGTTACAATAGGGCACCCCAAACACCGATGCGTTCTGAGAACCAAGTATTAACAACAGCAAAATTGACAGCTTAGGCCATGAGCTCTCACAAGCTGGCTGTCTGCACAAAAGCTGAGTCAGTGGGGTGTTCCCACCCTTAAACCATGGAAAAACATCCTATGCTTTTTTCCCTCCTGGCTTGCCAAGTGTGTTCAGAGCAGTGACACCCCATGACTAACGGTGCGCATGTTGGGAACTTGACCAGCTTATTGTTATAAGGAGCAATGGAGCTGTAGGCACTTCCCCTTCGCTTCTGAAAACTGGTATTCAGACATGATAATAAGTAAAGTATTCTGTTTTTTACCATCAGATAAAATGACGGTGGTGGTTTTAGACCTAGATAAAATTGTCAGTGGTCATATTGCACGTAGAATGCAATTCAAGTTTTCAGACAGTAGGTGGCATTGTTACATTTTAAAATCTTGACTGGTGGAGCTCGAGCTCCTCTATCTTCGGCAATTAAGAGGTGGCATTTCTAAGGCTTTCTTCAGCCACCCAGCCACAGGCTTGAGCTTACTGGAATACTGCATTTGAAGAACGTACAGATAATATACTGCTGGGTCTTGTTTTCTGTTGTGCATGAGAATTCTTACTCTCAGAATTCTGTTATGTTTTGCAAGAATGTGTTTTAAGTGTGTTTCTCTTTACTTTTACACTACAGTTTCATAAAGAACCTGTGACTGTAAGGTCAAGTAATTTTTTTTTTATATTGTACAACTTTGCTCAAGTCCTTCATCACTACTCTTTCCTGCAGTTGATGTGATATGGTCAATGTGGCCTGTTTCAAATTCAGAGGCAAAGTCTGGAGTTCGTAAGGAGGAGGTCACTTGAGGAAAGCCTTAAGTATTTTCATAGTTTCCAGGTGCTTACAAATAAGGAGGCTACCTTTTATTTAACTTACATTTCCAAAAATGTGCCAATGAGCCTAGCAGTGGCGGTGATGACTAGGCAGATCTGGTTGTCATAACTTGCAGAACAAGGGAACATGCTTAGTACCCTTGTTCATGTCACTTTTTAAAAGTATTTTGGGTCATTACCTGACACTAAAAAATGCTGAATTTCTTTTCCCAGTCAAACACACTAGACAATATTGCCTACATCATGCCTGGACTTTGATGGGAAAGGATCCTGGGATGTACTCAGCCTCTGCCTAACTGACTTGTGTACATATGCACTACGCCGGCACCCCCGAAGGGCTCCGTGTGTAGGGTTTTAAAATTTTGTATCTGTGTAGTGTATACACAGGATTGTAACTATTTGACTTCTATTTTATGAAAAGTTGTGAAGTTAAGCTGAGAAAACCCTTTTGTGTTGGTGGGTGAAATGTCCTCCAATCTAAAAGTATTTTGTATGAAGAATTCAGAAAGCTTTTGAGACACTCGCCTTAAATTCCGATCCTTTAGTGGGGGAAGCAGCCAGAGAACGGACTTCTCGATACAAAGGAAAAAACGTCACCGTGAGAGGGGTCATTGGACTAGGTGACCCAGGGAGGTTGTTGACTCTCCATCCTTGATGATATTCAAAAACTGAAGGAGCAGCCTGCTCTAGTTGGACTTTCATTGAGCCGGGGGATGGACCAGATGACTTCCTGATAGCCCTTCCAACCTAAAATATTCTGATACTCTGTGGGCAGGTAGAGATGAGAATGTATTTTGGACCAAGGAATAGAAGTGAACTCTTCACCAGCCCTAGTTTTAACTGGTTTTCGGTTTAAAATCTACTGCTTGAGGGGAAAGCTGGTTAGCTGATGAAAGACACAGAGGTTTTTGCCTCTTGGTCACTTCTTGCAACTCCCCTTCTCAGTCAGTAAAAGCGGACATTGTCAGCGGGCTGGTCTGGCAGCTGGCGTTTCAAGTAAAGTGGAAGATGACAATGAATTTAATCTTTCCTCGTGGACCCAAATCGTCGTTAGTGCGATACATCGACCGACTACATTGGCTTGAGAGAACGAACCTCCTGCTGATTTTTCCAGCGCGTGGTCAGCCTGCTTTGATGGAGAGGAGCATGGAAGCAGATGGGAAAAACTTCTGGGATTGGTTCTGCCCATCTTGTGCCTGTTTTATGAACAGACAGCTTTGGTTTCTGAGACGGCTGATCCCCCATCCCTTTCACCAGCAGTATTGAAAGAGCCGCGGTGCTGCTGCGGGGCAGTGACTAAATGGCCAGGCTGAAGGAGTTACGGCTGTGTAAGGCACGTGTGGGTTGAGGGGACCCATTCCCCTTCCTTCCAGCCACATACTTGGTGTTTGGTTTTCTGCCCCTCGAGAAGAGGAGCCACGGGACAGCGCTTGGTTCTCATATAGGCTGTTGTGTCTGTATGTATGTGTATGTGGTGTTCGTATCGTATCTATTTAACTTTTACCGGTATCTGTAACAGATTTTAATTTATCATGTATATTGCTCTGCGTGTGTATATATATATATATATACACATAATTTAAAAGCAAAAGTCCCTCCCTCCACCAACAGTGTGTGGAAAATAAGAATCAAGTCTGCCTCACCCCACTTCCTGCAGGAATCAGCTGCATGGGTAGCAGTGAGCGTTGGCATTGTACGGGGAAACACCCGGAAGATTTCAGGTGTTTGTAGAAACAGGCTGTCTTCTGAAGGTGGGTAGAACAACTGAAATATAATTTAACTCTATCCTTTCCAGCCTTATAGAAGTTTTAAAAGGACAGGAGAGCGCTTTTTTACTTCCAATCTACAGCTGTTTTTTTGGGGCAGCTGAAAGTGGCTGAGCCCCAAATCAAATTGAATCCTCAGGTGTGGGGGAGGCTTTTTCTCCCTGTTCCTCTTCACCGTGTGTTCCCCAGCTGTGCCTGTACAAGGCAGTCTGTCTCTTTTCTCAGTGCAGCGGTGGGTTTTCTCAGTTGGGAGGAGGCAGAAGGTTCTCAGATCGCCGTACGATTCTCCACCCAAGCCGTTCTAACAATAGGTGACTAATCCCGGTGAGCCTGGAACTGGGAAGGGCTCAGGAGGGAGGCAGTCTGATCCCGCTTTGGATCCTGGCCCGTACTGAAGTATCTGCTGTGGGGAGCGGCACAAAATTCCTGGCGCTTTCCAGCCCTTTACGAGGGAGAGCGTGGTGTTGAAGGGGTAGGTGTGCTTAAGGAACGGCAGGGGATCAGCTGCAGCTTTGTCATCTGTACAGTGGGAAACTTGGAAGAGTTGGAAAAACACACACAATCCCCGTGTATTGTATTTTTATTTAAGATTTGTACACTTTGTATAATCTGTACCTTGTGGGATTTGGTACTAGAGGGAAAACTTTGGCAAGAATTAGCAGTTTTTTATATTTTTGTTATTTCTGTGCTATTTGATCCAGATGACGTTACAATTATACATGAACTTTTTTGTACTTACAATATAATTTTTTTTTTTAGCATTCGGAGTGTTGTCATTCCTTTCTGGCACGTGCTGTGGTTTCAGCAACCGTTGTCCCTGCTGGAAGTCGGTGTTTCTCAGCACGGGAAAGCCGTTCGCGGCTGGCTGTCGCGTGTTAGGGCACGCGCCTGGGCCGCGGCCCTTCTGCAGGGGCTCAGAACGGCGGCGCGGCCGTGGAGAGCGGTGGGGGCTCTGGGTCGGCGACAGCACC